TGACAGTGCATCGCTCAGACAGCCGGACCCTCAGATTGCTGGCAATCAGTCCGAGCCAACCGAAGGAGAGAGACCAAGGCCAGCTTCGGTAGGCACTGCACCTCAACCTCACACAGAACCAGACTTGGAGCTTCCCACAACACCAAATAATCCTGAAACTCTGATGCCAGACGCATCCCTGGTTCCCATTCCACCTGAAAGTGATGATGAACTCACGGTCGATTCAATTGATTTCGATACATGGAAGATTCATGGGAACTTTTTGATTCGTGTTCGCAACATCCCAAGAATTCGACTGTTTAATCCTCGTACTGATCCATCGTGTCCCGTACCCCATGCCCCATGCCGCCATTCTTCCCGACCGATGGACAACTGGAAAGTACAGAACTGGTGATTGGTTCAAGATCCATTCCGGAAAGTCATAGAACTCTTGCCGAGATATGGACCGGTCAGTCTGTTTTTGCCATCGATCCAACCAAAATGACTTCCGTAGGAAAGTCACGAAACTCATCACATATCCGAAGAAGAGCATCCCAATGGGGTAGTCTGTGAAATTCTCTTGACTGAAGCCGAAGTGAAGCAATGCCTCAGGAAATCCCAGCGTGAACAGGAACTGTTCCTGGCTTCTGCAGCGAAACGTCAGAGAGTAGAAGTAAAGATCAAAGACTCAACGCCAGAAGAGATCATTCAGTTCGAGAAGGCCAAAGATAAAGAGCTCTCACAATGGCTTGCGACAGACACGGTTCGTCGCGTTTTGCGCCACAAGATACCTGAGGGACAACTCCTCAGGTCAAGATGGGTTCTGACTTGGAAACCGCTCGATGACATACAGGCCGCCTCAACAGGACTGAGCCGTAAGGCTAAAGCCAGACTCGTCATTCTGGGATTTGAGGATCCCGCAATCGACAGTCTACCCCGTGACTCCCCCACGTTGGGAAAGGACACCCGTATGCTAGCGCTCCAGGTCATCTCAAGTCACAGGTGGGAGGTCAGATCTTTCGATATTTCCACCGCCTTTTTGAGGGGTAGCCGTCAAGACTCAAGGGTCTTAGGTGTCGAGCCTCCTCCAGAACTAAGGCAACGTCTGAATCTTAAGGATGATGAGACCCCTAGAGCTGCTCAAAAGTGCATACGGAGTGGTGAATGCACCACTGTTGTGGTACCAAGAGCTGAAGACTGCCCTCCTTGGCCTTGGCTTCATAATATCTCCATTGGACCCGTGCCTGTTTGTACTTCCCAAACGGAAAGTCCACCATCAAGATCCTAAGGATGCTTGCGGTATACACGGCATTCTAGGTGTCCATGTAGATGATGGCCTGGGTGGGGGTGATGCTGTTTTTGCGCTAAAGCCATTGATCAGCTCGAGGCCCGATTTCCTTTTGGAAGTAAGCGTCAACGGTCTTTTGTGTTCACTGGCATTCAGGTAAACCAAGATAGCAACGGTGACATCCGCCTTAACCAAACCGAATATATCAAAGATATCACTGGAATTGAGATTCCCCGAGAACGTCGCAAAGAACCACAGAATGCAGCCAACGATAAAGAAATCCAAGCACTAAGAGGCTTGATAGGTAGCCTTCAGTATGCTGCATCGAACACAAGGCCAGACCTGTCGCGTCGACTCAGCTTGTTGCAGGCGAAGATACCACATGCGACGGTTAGAGATCTGTTGATAGCGAAAAGGCTACTAGAAGATGCAAAGAAACATGCCGACGTAGAAATTAGAATCCAATCTATGCCAACAGAGTAAGTTCGGTTTCTTTCATTTTCCGATGCTGCTTTTGCCTCGAGGGACAAAGCCCACTCTCAGAGAGGAACTTTCATCCTCGCCACAACCCCCGGGGTCGATGATAACCACGGTTCTAAGGTAAGTCCTATAGTATGGTGCTCCAAAAAGATCGCCCGTGTGGTAGCTAGCACCCTGGCGTCAGAGACTTATGCTCTCTCAGGTGCTTTGGACCAGGTGAGTTGGATCCGATTACATTGGAATTGGATGATCGATCCTTCGACTGTTTGGAACAAGCCATCAGAGACTTTACCTCAGCTTCCTCCGGCATATTTGACTGCAAGAGCCTCTACGACCTTCTCCAAAAGACGACTGTTCCCCAGTGTAGTGAGTATAGGACACTTCTTGAAGCACTGGTGATCAAGGATTGCCTCAGGGAAGGAATAATAATTAAATGGGTGCACAGTGCTGCCCAAATGGCAGACTCTTTAACAAAAGAAATGGACACCAGTATCCTTAGAACTTTCCTCAGGAATGGCAAGTGTCTCCTCAGGGATGTGGATGAGATTCTCAAACAGAGATCGGATCGTCGACTGCGTCAGACCTGGATGCAAAGCACCACCACCTCTCCAGGTGACCAAGCGTGCACCTTCTGTCAGGGATGTAATCTCCAAGATTACCAGACAGTTGTGCCTTCAACATGATGCAAAGACTCGTCAATCACCTCATCCGTGTGTGCCCTATGCATGATAGAGTACAATGGTACTGCGTTAATTCCAACTTTTAGTCCGTTTGAAAAGACAAAAGGGTTTTTTCAGGAGTGTGATTTCAGTGGCCAAACCTTGCAACCTGGACTTTGAAGGGTACGCTGTCACATGAGAGGTGACACTCATCCGAGTGTCATGTGTTCGTGCCCGTGAGAAGGGGCTCAAGTCAGGGGGCGTGGACGGCCGTTCGCCCTTGGTCGTGGACGACCCTCGGAGGCTGCGGTGTGAGAAAGACGCGCCCGGGAGCGCTTGGTGGGTAGAAGTGATAGGTGAGGGAAGGGCGACGCTTCCAGTGTGGGGAATCTACAATATATATATTTGTATATTATAACTACTACTATTTAACTCCATCCTGATTAACTAGGAGAGGTCCATTAATCATGCTGCCATCCCCACTTTTCTTCTGCTGCAAGTCTATAATCTCTTGTTGAAGTCACCAATCAGGTCTTTGCTGATGGCTTAGCCTTTGAAAAGGGGGGGTTATTAATCCGGAGTTTGCATTATGGGAACTTGACCCCAGCCTTTTGAAGACCGGGGAAGGAAACATGAACAAAGGGTGCTCGATGCTGGCCAAATATCCCCTGATTAATGGTGGTTAGTGGCTGCTCATCACCCATCTCCTGCATGAAAATCTCGATCTGATGATTGTCCTGGCGTCAAGTGGTCTGCCGAGAATGGCAAGTTGCAATGCCTGCTGTTCTGGGGTTGCCTCCGCTACAGCCCGTGGTTGGCGAGCCCCCTTCTCTGGAGTCGGAGGGAAGGGTAAAGGGTAGAGCAGTTTCAGATGAGTGAGCTAAGAATGAGGAGACTATATAGACTATACTGACATCATGTATTATTGACTACACTATTGACTACGTATAGTGATTCGATGGCTTACCTGCTCTCCTCACATCAGACTCCCCTTTGGAAGGAACCCCATATCCCGACAGCATCGAAGGAGAGCACACTTCTTTGGAGAAGTGGCTTTGGCACCGGCCTGGTAGTCTTGCAAGGTCTGAGCAGCACTTCGAGGCCTTGGAATCTTGGGGTCTATGAATTTCTTGGAGCCAACTCGTTATCCAAGGCCTTGTGACCCTTCCGTTCCCTCTACGAATCGCTTCGCCTTTAGGCGACTCCATGGTGTGATGAACCCTTCAACGATGCAATGCAAACGCTGTTTCTGTGTCAACCATTGAACCATTGGGCACCGCGAACGTCCTGGGGCCCCCGACGTGAGCCGGTCTGAGACCGTGGCCATGATTCGCCGAGACGGACCTGAGCGCCGAGACGGTGTCCCTCAACTGGCCTTCACGATTCGCCTACGTAGGCAGGCACATCCGGGCCTGGACATGTCTGACAGGGAAGAACAAATACAAAGCAAGCACACTATGGCATCATGGTGTTGGATGGTGGCAAGGCTGGAGCTCATCTTCAACGCTGCAGTTGCCCTGAGGGGGCCCAGGGTTGATGTGAAAGGTCGGTTGTCCTAGCTCAAGAAACTGATCGGGCTGTGTCTGCAAAGGCTCGGAATTGACTGAGCCCACTAAACTCGGAGACTGAAAGGAGTCCGAAAGGAGTCATCATACGTCGCGACAGTCATCACTGGGTTGATTTCAGGGCGCTGAGGACGAGGCGTGATCGGGCCCAATTGGGTCACTGAGCGCGGCTAATGTAGAGATGTCACTATTGGATGGCTCTCTTACTTTGATTTTTTGAATATTTTTGATGCTGAGTCAGTTGAAGCTGGTTACGTTTACATGGAGAGGAAGGGTGGAGAGGGTCAGTTGGCTGCTTCACCCTGGTCAAGTAGAGTAACCCTTCAACTGCTTGAAGATCACAGTCCTTAATCACTTAGTCCTTAGCTTAACTCTCACAGTCCATCAGCAATTGACTGGGTGCTGCCGGCAACGCACGGAGACGTCTGCTGACTCCAATAAATCAATAAGCTAGACGCCCTGCATGCACAATATTGCAGCTCTTCAACCCATGTGGTTTGGAGGTGTTTCGACCATAAGGCCCATTGAATTTCAAAGTCTCATGGCCTCACGGCTGAGTTCAAGTTCACTCACAGCCCTTTTGCAAGACATTTGGCAAGCCTACAGCACCTTCGCTTTGAGGTGCAAACATGTACGGTACGGAAAACATGGCGAGATGCTGTATCGATCTGAATCGCAGTCTTCGAAGGGCGCTGTTTCAGACCTCCATTTGGGTAGCTAACAGGCACAAAAAGTGCGATGCCATCGTCTGTCTGACATCGGTGCAAGCTGCAAAGGAAACAAACACTCAAGAGAACTACGATCCAGCTCTGGCTCTGAATCCTGGTCCTGACTCGGCTTTGCCCATCAGTCAAGAACTACTGTACCTCTTCCGGATCCACAGAGATCTACAGACCGGACCCTGAGCGACCGATTGAGTGGCCCAAAATAAGACTTCCATCCCGCTCAAACCATTGACAAAAAGCTCAGATTTACGACGATGTGACGATTTGCCACTGAGATACAAGATCGATTATATAACTGGGTGTACTGTCATCTTGCTGGAGAGGAAGGCGATGAGAGGCTTTGGAGGTCAGTATTGGCGATGGAACTGGCGATGGACCTTCTCAGTGGCTCAGGGTTGCCAACGCTGTGGCTTGCGACGAGCCTGGGAACAACAAGAAAACGCCGTGGCACCAAGCCAACTAGCAGTTTGAGCGGATTCAAGCAAGCTGAAAAAAAAACATCAACCCGTCAAAGCCATGAGCCGCCCACGCTAAATTGTGAAGTTGCAGCTCGCGCCCGCCTCGGCAGCCAAAAATGTGTTTGTCCATGCGTGCCCCCTCCCTAAGAGCATAAGAGTGTCGAGTACAGACCCCCTGGCAAGTCAGCGCCACCTTCAGCCCTGACTCTGGTGCCTCAGGCCCGCACTCCCCCGGGAGTGTTCTTTTTCAACTTCTTTGACACCATTCCCCGTCATGCCCACCACCGACACGCCCCAATACCACACGCACCTGAGGCCTGCCAACTCGAGCTTCAATTCCACGGAGTCCACGCCTCAGGTGCATATAGCCTTTCCCACGGCTCCATTAAAACAATGCAGCAGGAGGAGAGGCCCCCCAAAACCCCAAAGAAACATGTTGGGAGCGCCTCTATTCGTGCCACCAGTGGCAGAAAATCCTGAAAACGTGGAATCATACATGTATCCGATTTTCATTTGTTCAGGTCCATGATGGTTTCAGGATTTCAGGGTTTCTTCCAACCTCCAGATCGGCTCAGGACGCAGCTCGGCCGAGCCGGCGTGGCATTGGGGCTTGGCGTCGCTTTGGGGCTTGGCCGTGGCATGACGCGGCTGCGGCTCGGAGTGCCTGGTGTGGCGGCTGGGAGTGCCTGGTGTTCACCTACTCGCGTGTTCGGAATCCCTAATTCCACGTACTTCGTTGTGCGATGAACCTCGACATAAAAAAGAAAACACCTGGCACCTTTGTTACCTGAGTGAAGTCGATGGCCTTCATTGGCTCAATCATCTGAAATCTATAACATCTGATTCTATTTTCTGATGTAACAAAATAGGAACCTACCCGAATATGGATTGTGTCATTGTGGTAGAACTGGTTACAATACCTCCAATTCACCAAGTCCTTCTAATGTTCGCCGCTTCAGAGGGCAAGCACGAAAACAAAGCTCCCACTGAACAAACCGTCCTTGGCAGCTGTCGGGGAGCTTCTGGCGACCTGGGCAACACGGAACCACAGAACCAAGCGGAGCCCTTTTCGACCAAAATTGCAAGAGCTTCAAGGCTCCGTCCCAGTGTTTGCGGCGGTTTTTGGTTTGGCTCCTTTATCTGTACGTTGTAAAACCTAGTCTCTCGTCCTATAAATGCTAGTTATGTGCAACGTCTGTTGTGCCTACTAAGCAAATCTGCTTCTCTCAGGCACAAAGGTCACCAAATCTCACACCAACACCAACACTGGACCAACACCCAAATTTAACCAACTGCAGGAGGTAGTTGTACAGTTGTGTAAACCACTTAGGCTATCTCTGATGGTTTGTCCAAATAAACCAAAAAAACAACAACAAAAAATGGGGCGCAAAGAAATACAAAAAGCAAAAGCAACAATCAAAAAATAACAAATGAAAAAGCAAAAAGCGAAAGAAAAACAAACAAAAAGCGAAAACAAAAAGAGATGAAAAAACATGCGAAAATGTGCGGGCAAGCAAAAAAGCATACATAAAAAACAAAACAAAGTGATAATTGTTGCTTTTTGGATTTGTTTTCTTTTGCTTTTGCTTGTTCATTTGTTTTTGTTTGCTTTGTTTTTGTTGCTGTTGCTTTTGTTTTTTTGCTTTTTGGATGTGTTTTTGTTCTTTTGTTTTTTGTAATTGTTTTTGTTCATTGTTTTTTGCTTTGATGTTCTTTTCAAGATTCATAGTTAGGCTGGGTCCGGCGAACATAATTGTACAGCCGAACTCGTGGGCCTAACGGACGTACGTCATTCTGCACCACGGACCACGAAGTGACAACAAATCTGTAGCCAGGTGAAAGCTTGAAATTGATCTTGCGATGAAACGAGGACCCGTTTCTGAACTGCACACAAAGCTAGAAGAAGCTAGGACGGTAAAATGACATTCCAACAGAAGAAGACCTGGACGTTTACAAAAATAGGAAAGGCAGGAGAAAGGACATTGAAAAAGGAAAACAACACATACTACATAACGATCTATATAATTACTCTATACCATGTTTTTCCGAAAGTTCCCCTTTGTCGCTTTGGGCATTGCCCTGTGTCTCCACTTTCTGGCGCTTTTTTGTTCGACTCTATGTAGGAGACAGGGGAGACACGGGGCAAAACCGGACAAAGGAACTCTAGAAACACACTTTTTGATAGACATACAGCAGGAACAGACTTCACGAAATGCAGTTCCAGCAGAACATCCTCAGAATGGGTTGCACATACAGTGATATACAAGCCGATTTCACTTCACCAACATGTTCAAGCCGCTCCAATTTCATTTATCTTAGTTGACCCAGGATGACCTATTTGAAAATGTCGTGTTCAGGCTTTGGCCTTTTCATCCGGAACTACTGTAGAATGGGTCCCTGAATGGCATGTTGCAGATGATGTCAGGGATCCCCGAGCCCTTCCCCTCCTTCACAAGGGATGAGAGTTTGGTCAGTTCATCTGAAATGGGGGTTCCCATTGTGACATCATCGACCACAACGGCTTTGTCACCAGTCTTCCAACTCCATTACCTTTCGAAAGGGGAATTCGACATGATTTCATGTGTTTTTTCCCCTGATGTATCTGATGTGTGGGACAGGCACAAGGGTGCTCAAATGACGGATCAATGATCAATGGATATGCATCATGCCAGGTCTCATGCCATTGCAACCTCCCATCTTCTGGAGATGTGATGGGATCATTGATGCGAAACTACCCCCAAAAACAAAAAACAAACAAAAAAAGAAACACACCACTCGGAGGGGGTCCGAATTCATTGAAGTTCAGCCAACTAACCTCAGGGACACCTCAAAACTTACCGGACTGCAATAGGAATGGGCAGGGAACAAGAGGCCAAATTGTATAATAATTGTAATATTCTGCATTCACTAAGTGAATCGAACAAATCTAATCAGTGAAGACCCTCTGAGGCTCCATCTAATCGCCCTGCGTGAGGGTAAGCTGAAGGATCGGGGGGTCACGCGGCTCCTGGGCAACAAACACAACGGATTGGTGAACTTTGAGGTCATCCTACTACTACGAGCGATGAAAAACAGTTGAAGACTTGAATCATGTGGGAAGTAGGGCCTGCTTTCTTGTTCGGATTCAGGCCAGCGGCGGTCCACGTCATCTGCCCCAGCAAAAATTACCACACAGCTTCCTCACTTTGCCACCAACTCTGGTCGCAAATGATCTGGCAACACCGTCATTTCCTGACCCTGGCCGCCCCCGAAGTCATCGAAGAGCACCCGAAAATCCCGAAAAGGTGCTGCCCTTCGGGGTCAACCACAGCCGCCCTTCGAGGCGCGGACTCTTTAATCCCATGCAAGCAATCATCGGAGAGGCGCGTGGCAGCCTCGCAAATCATCCAGCGGTTGAACGATTGTTAGCCCCTGCCACACATGATGTCCAGCTCATGATTTAACATGATTCAACACACGACAGGATTTCATCTTACACCTTTTTGTTCATATTATTTGTTGAACAAAAGGCAAGCGTGGTGGTTGCTTGATGTTACTTGTGTGCGTGCTTTGAAAACACACACCACATCGGTTTGAAATGGATCCTCTGATGCGTACCGAACTCACTTGTCCCAGGCGCCAAAAGAATCTCCGTGGGCACTCGACCGTCTGTGGTGAGATCAGCGGTGTCACCCTGCAAAGGCTTCACCTGGGTGCTTCCGGCGAAGGACATAAGTGCCAGTCCTTGTGCACCCAAAATCGATACCACAACCAACAAAAGAGCCTTTGCAGTCTCCAGTTGAATTATCTTGACTTATGAAGAAGCTTCAAAACACCGGTTGCAGTTGCAAGTGTAGCTACATGCCGCATAGTCCTCCCAAATCTTGCTTGACTCTTTGCCACGTATGAAACAACTTGTCGTAATCCAATCAATCTCAATGATCTCTACAGCACCAATACGCACTGCATTTGCTCCTTTCTCTTTTTGGCCCGACACGCAGGGCGGGACAGCCAGGGCCTGGCACCATAGGCAGGACATGGCACGACATCCGCAGGACTGTACATAGAGGAGATTTACTTTCAAAGGGAAAAACTTGGTGTGGCCAGTTGGATGGTCACCAGAAGCTGTCTGGAAGCATGGCAGCTGAACCACGTTCAAATGGACAAATGGACATCAGGCCCGACATCAGGGTTGCAGGTTATTCGGAAATATTGGGTATAGGTTTACTTCCTGTGCCACCATGGCAGTTCGTAACCCCACCCGCTTTGCTCAACATGGATAAGATTTCCATGGGTGCATTCATGTGCATTCCTTGGTGGGTGAGTCACCAATGAATAAATCAATATGGTCATTCAAACCACCCTAAATTACAGGTCCCAATCGGCTCCTCTTTCATCTCCTAGCGCCTGCGTGAGGTCCTGTAGGAGGGATGCATTTTTTCCCGACAAGTCCAAGCAGCGTTTCATATGAGACCTGGGCGACAGGCTGGGTGATGCCATACGCTCTTCCCTGAAAATGACCAAGTCCATGCAGAAACGGTGACACTATGGTGAGGCCCACCCCCAAACAAACAGACCAAAATAGCGGAAAGGACCTGAGAGGACCCTGATTCGCCTCAAAAACCATGGGATTCATTACAGTTGCAATATAGTTGAAGAAAAAGAAGGTCAGCTGCTCTAGCTGAAGGTTCGCCAAATCAAGCCGTCCCAATGATCCCAATGATGGACCATCCTGGCATTCTTGTCAGGGGACACCACATCCGCAGACAAAGCTCCTGATGCAGTGCCGCCCGTAGAGGCCGGCCCGGGCACCGCGGCCGACGGCCGCACCTGGCTGGGGCGGCCTCAGCCGGGGCAGGCGGATGTTGAAATGCCGCAGGTGAAAAAAATATACAAGCATAGACACCAAACAGTTTCAAACCAATATTAGTCAATTATACAAGCGTAGACCCCAAACAGCTTCAAAACGATTCGTCTAAACCAATATCAGTCAAAAATCGATTTCTTGGTACGCCCTACTTTCACCCCAAGGGCAAACTGCTTCATCAATGAATTTTTGTCGGCATTGACGTCGCTATTTGTTCGGCCACACTCCTCTCCAGTAAGACGGGCCACGGAGACCAGCCACAGAGTTCAGGGGCGCGGCCAAGACAAGGACAAGAGGAGGACAAGACCCGGACACAGAGCCCGGCCACAGAGCCCAGCCACAGAATTCAGGGACGCGGCCAAAACAAGGACAAGAGGAGGACAAGGCCCAGCCACAGAGCCCAGCACAGAGGACAAGAGGAGGACAAGAGCCCAGTAAGCCGTCCATAGCACACGAGCACGCGCGCGCTCGCCCTGCTCTCTCTCTCTCTCTCTCTGCGTTTCTTTCTCTGTCTTTCTCTTTGCACAGCACGCTCTGACCGCGCCTTTCTGGAGCGTGAGCGCGCCCGTCCATAGCACACAAGCGCGCGCTCGCCCTGCTGTCTTTCTTTCAGTATTTTTTCTTTCTTTATTTCGTTCTTCCTTCCTTCCTTCCTTGCTTGCTTGCGTGCTTTCTTTCTTTCTTTCTTCCTTGCTTGCTTGCTTGCTTTCTTTCTGTCTCTCTCTCTCTCTCTCTCTCCCTCGCGCCTATCTGGAGCGTATTTCAGAGCCGAGCGCGCCGTCCATAGCACACGACACGCGCGCGCTCGCCCTGCTCTCTTTCCTTCTCTCTCTCTCTTTCTCTTTAAGTTTCTCTTTCTCTGTCTTTCTCTCTGCAGAGCGCGCCCTGGGCGCGCCTATTCTGGAGCGTATTTCAGAGCGCACGCGAGCGCGCCGTCCATAGCACACGAGCGCGCGCGCTCGCCCTGCTCTCTTTCCTTGTCTCTCTCTCTCTCTCTCTCTCTTTCTCTTTAAGTTTCTCTTTCTCTGTCTTTCTCTCTGCGGAGCGCGCCCTGAGAGCGCCTTTGTGGAGCGTATTTCAGAGCGCGCACGAGCACGCCGTCCATAGCACACGAAGCGCGCGCTCGCCCTGCTCTCTTTCTCTCTCTCTCTCTCTCTCTTTCTCTTTAAGTTTCTCTTTCTCTGTCTTTCTCTTTGCAGAGCGCGCCCTGAGCGCGCCTTTAATCTCTGTTCTTGGGAACTGGCCCCTTGTTCCCGAGCAAGTGGCCCTTTGTTTTTTTCATTTTTTGATGTATGTAAGGAGATGTGTCCACACTGTAATGGTTTTTGTATATGGGTGTTGGTCTAAATTCCTTCATCCACGATCCATCATTCTTGGCCAACAAACAATACTTTAGCCAAACTTTCACCGTTTCACATGTTATTTTTCACCAAAGAATGTTGTATTTCTGTTTGCCATGCAAATGGTATGACATATATCAAACTTCTGACCATGTATAGGAAGCAAATAGGTGCATAGACACATGAACATCATACAATGTAAAGCATATCGTGTCATTTGTATCATAGAACTGTATCATAGGCTTACCCATAATCGGCAGAGGGACAGATGTGTCAGGGTGAACGTTCACCTTTCATTAGCTGGACTTTAGCCATTCTTTCACCATTTTCAGGGTAGACTTTTCAGACTTTAGCTATTTTTTCGTCAAACATACTTTTGCCAACTCAAGAAAAACTTTTGCCAAATGACATTTTAACATGTTCCAGGATCATGATCATCACCAACAATCCCTATTAGGACCTTTGGATCATGGACACTTTCATATCCATGGTACTCTGTCATATCGCTGTATGACTCTTTGGGCCTGTAGGCTCAAGTGGAGACTGCATTCCGCGTGTAAAAATTGTAGGCAGCCAAGGTGCCCTGTGACAGTTGTGGTTTTGTCATTTGGGATGACGCTGACTTAGAGTTAAGCTAGCGACTTCATGCACGCACGCACTGCGTGCAGTTTTCATGGAGGCCTAGAGCTGTTCACATGAAGGTACTTGGTGCATTTTCACTTCAGCTGGAATTGCATATTTGTGAGAAGTTTTGGCTTTGGGCATTCATTTGGTCAACTAACATCCCCTCATGCCATGGTGAAAGATAAATGAAACAAGAAAACCAAGATATAGTTTAGAGTTTAGCGCTATGAATACGTGCTTAAAGATGTGGGTCTACGATTTTGTTGGCCAAACCCATGTTTTCATCCAGGGGGGGCAGGCCGGGACAACAAATCGCGCAGTTTAAAACTTTACAACTTTTTCCCAACATTGTGCATGAACCATCATTTGCCAAAAAAATCAATGAAACAGTTTTCTGTTGAGATGGAACTGCTGTGATGTGAAGTGTTTCTTGCTTTGACCCCTGTTCACTTTTTTGTTTCCACTGTTCACTGTTCCCATGTTTTTGGTTGATCCCTTGGACATTTGATCTGCCGGACTCATGCAATGAATCTTTGATTCTGCGGTGACATTCCATGCAAGCAGTGATATTTTTGGAGATTTTCCACTGGTCATTGTGCTCCACGGGTCATTGTTCACTGCTCCACTGTTGCAAGCTTTGAACATCACAGTGTGTACACATACAAGCATATGTGTACATATGTATGTATATAAGTACTTGTTAAAACTATGTGTCCATATGTGTATGTTTGTAAATGGTGTACGTACTTATCAAAAAGTACATACATGCATCTGTGTGCATGTACGGGAAAGAAATAACACCAATCTGACAGGACAGTTCAAAAAACCAAAAGAAAGTTTGATCACAACTTTCTTGCAAATGTTAAACGAGATTGCTCCCCAAAGACTTTTGCTTTGGGCTGGACATTGACTATCTTCACCTCGGAAGTCCCAGTGGCTTTTCAATGTTCTAAACCCAGTTGCCATAGGATTTGAAGCCTGATTGGTGATCTTCAGGTTGCAAGTTATAGTGGCTACAGGTTTCAACCGTCGCTAATTGTTTTTCTTTTGCAGAGCAATTTCTTACTGCTCAAATGAAGATACATACATACAATTGATACAAAGACATTAGATCAATAGTGAAGAACCTTATTTAAACAACAATGGCGAGTGTCCACTTTCTATCGGCGGTGGGAAATAAGGAAGCAAACTCTAATGACTAAAGGGCAGTTTTTGGTGAAAACAATGAAAGAACAAAGCTTGATGACTAAAGCTGTGGACCAACTGTTTTTGGTGAGGGAAATTACAAAAGTAAAAACTAATGACTAAAACTGTCGACAAAAGCTTCGGTGAGGGATTTGAAGGCAACAAAATCTGATGACGAAAGTTGTGGACCAAATATTTGGCGAAGGAAATTAAGCAAGCAAAACCAAAGGACTAAAGCTGTGGGCAAAATTTTCAGTGAGGAAACTGACGGAAAAAAACTGATAAACAAATTGTGGACATTCTTTTTGTGAAGGAAGTTAACGAAATTAAAACAATGACTAAAACGGTGGAAAAGAATTGGTGAGGGAATTGAAGGAAACAAAACCTGATGACAAAAGCTGTGGACCAAAATTTTGAAGGAAATTAAGGAAGCAAAAAACAAAGGACTAAAACTGTGGACCAAAATTTGGTGAAAGACATTGAAGAAACAACACCTAATGACTAAAACTGTGGACAGAAGTTTTGGTGAGGGAATTGAAGGAAACAAAACCTGATGACTAAAGCTGTGGTGATAAAGGTGGGGATCGTGGTGACGGTGGCGGTGGTGTTGAGTGAGTGAGTGAGTGAGTGAGTGAGTGAGTGAGTGAGTGAGTGAGTGAGTGAGTGAGTGAGTGAGTGAGTGAGTGAGTGAGTGAGTGTGTGTGTGAGTGAGTGTGTGAGTGTGAGTGTGAGTGTGAGTGAGTGAGTGAGTGAGAGTGAGAGTGAAAGTGTGATTGAGAGTGAGAATGAGGGGGAGAGGGAGAGGGAGAGGGAGAGGGAGAGCGAGAGCGAGAGTGAGTGAGTGTGAGTGTGAGTGAGAGTGAGAGTGAAGGCGGGTGTGAGTGAGTGAGGATGAGAGCGAGTGAGTGAGTGAGTGAGTGAGTGAGTGAGTGAGTGAGAGCACGAGTGTGAGTGAGAGGGAGTGAGTGAGTGAGTGAGTGAGCGAGTGAGTGAGTGAGTGAGAGCACAAGTGTGAGTGAGAGTGAGTGTGGGTGAGAGTGAGTGAGAGTGAGAGTGAGAGTGTGAGTGAGTGTGAGTGTGAGTGAGTGGGAGAGTGAGTGAGTGTGAGTGTGAGTGCAAGTGTGAGTGAGAGTGAGAGTGAGAGTGAGTGTGTGAGAGTGAGAGTGGGAGTGAGTGAAAGTCAGCGTGGGAGAGTGAGTGAGAGTGTGAGTGTGAGCGAGAGCGAGAGGGAGAGGGAGAGGGAGTTTGAGAGTGAGAGTGAGAGTGAGTGAGAGAGTGAGAGTGGGAGTGCGTGTGAGTGAGAGTGAAGGTGGGTGTGTGAGTGAGTGTGGGGTGAGTGAGTGCGAGTGTGAGAGTGAGTGTGAGAGTGAAAGTGTGCGTGGGTGATGTGAGAGTGCGAATGTGACGGAGTGTGAGTCTGAGTGGGAGTGGGGGAGTGGGAGAGTGAGTGAGTGTGAGTGTGAGTGTGAATTTGAGTGTGAGTGAGTGGGAGTGTGAATGCGAGTGTGAGTGGGAGTGG